ATACTGCTATCAAAACATGTGTTTTTATTTGAAATTGTGTTAATTAATTTTATAACTTTAAACAAATAAGCTCAAAATGGATATGAATGATTTTATAACCCAAACAAATTTTATATATGATAGATTTTAATATTTGTGCAGAATGATCATCGTGAGTAATTGATTATATCGACTTTGACATTTTATTAAATTGGAAGTTTCAATTTTTAAGTAGAACTACCTATAATTAATTTGCGATTCATAATGCTAGGTGGCAATTTTGGGTTTTCTTTGTAATTAGATAATTAGACAAAGACGATTTCTTAAGCAAAGTATATAATAGATACTCCAATCCTTATACAAGCAAAACATGACCTATACTAAACAGCTTTGAACAATGCAAACTACATGATCAGAACATCAATCCACACACTCAACCCAGCATAATTTTTTGTTTTTGTAAAACAATTCAGATACACTCTTTAATCTTTATGCATAACCTTAACCAAAACATTTCTTTACAAAAGTATATTTTATGTAAGTGCCACGTAATCTTTCAACGGGAATTTGTGCCCCAACAATTGCCGCTGCGTATTTTATCAATATTTATGACTTTTTTTTCTTCACAAATAATTAATTTTTTAAAAAATTGTCTCAAAATGTTAAAAATAATTATTTTTAAAATGAATCAAACTCCTAAACATACAGTCATCGTTCTTTCAAAGTTAAATCGCATAGTTACGTCATTCAAGCTCAATACAGGCAATAAGTGAGTGAATGAATTGGTTTATTCAGTATTTGAAATAACTTAAATTAAATATTTAATTATATGATTTAAAAAAAACTTTAAATTAAACATGCATAATATGTACTAATTATATATATACATAATTCATTCTATTTTTCTCGTTTTCAACGTGTTCTAAAGATTTGTTTGATTTAAAATTAAATATAACTAATTTGAATCCAACTAATTTTAAAGTTATTAAAATATATAAAGTTAAATATAGTTACATAATTTATATGGAGACGTGTGTTATGACAATGAAAGGAGTTAATTTTTAGTGTTTAAGAGTTTCTAACTTTTCAACTTTAGTTACATGAAAATCAATCATTGAAGTTCCTGGCTTTTATCAGAAACCGAAGCATATGTAAAAATTCTTATACACATGGCAGGAAGAGAAAAGAGAGAATTACAGGTAGGACAGTGAAATAATAAGAAATGGAGGAAAAGTCCAGAGACATAATAATCAGTTTAGGAATAAACTAGAGAGGAATCACGGTTACAAACATTAATCACAGCACCGCAGGATGCCTAATCAGTAATGACGTTAAATTAATCAAAAACATATTATCTGTGTTGGTCGGATGGTGCAAAATTAGCGTCACAGAGAGTGATAGGTAAATGATATTTTAAAAAAATGACAAAGGTACCTTGTGCCCATCATGGGCTTCAAAATGAAAGTTCTAATATTAAATTATGCGACGCTTCAGTCATGTCCTCTAATCCGCTTTTTATTAGTGACTAATAGATTCCTTTTTTTAATTATCTTCTTGATAAGATACTTGTCACCTAGCGATGTTAATCAAGTTGATAGATGTAATTATAATGAAATCCCACCTGTCAACTAATTTGAGTCCCAGGCATAAACTTGTGTAGTATTTTATTTTAATAAATAAACCTCGTAATCCATTGTCAAACAGACAGTATAAAAATAAATACAAACATCCATTCAAAATAAAATGCAAATAGGTTGACAACTAATTTAAAATCGATGACTTGTTTAATTTTATCGTTCAACTTTTTGTGTCTTGATAAATGAGTAAGTATATATATACACGACTATGATCTTTTTATACCAATATAAATTTAAAAGTTCTTGCACTTAATTTAAACTTTTTATTTAATTTAAATTTAATAAATTATAATTTATTATTTTATTGATCATTAGATTTAAATTAATGGTAAGTTTATATTGAGTGTAAGAATTTTTAAACTTACACTGATGTAAGAAGATTTTTCCTGTAAATTTAATTTTATAAATATTTTAATTACAAATAAATTTAAGGTGACATTATTTATATTTGAAATTTTCTATCTTAAATATAGCTTGTATTATAAAATTTATTATGAAATTCTCAGTCTAATATAACCCTGCATTTTTTTTAACTTTAATTAAACATACATTATGATGCATATAAGAACAAATTTAATTTTAGTTTAAAGACAATTGAATATGATTATTTTTTTATTAATTTGATGTTAAGCTGTCCATAAAAAGATAACTTTGGCGTTCGTGATAGAACAAGTTTACCCCAAACTAAAAATAATTTCTTTTGTGTTTCTATAAGCTATCAAAATAGCTGTCTAAGAATAAGGAAAAACAACGAAGGATATGATGAAGGGATTTTTTAAAATAGGAAATTCCTTATGATCCAAGTCCTTGTATGTGTAAATGTAATCTATAGTGCATGCCTCAACCCACTAGGATAGGTGATATAAATATTTTTGTATAAAGAATATTAAATTAGTTGCCTGTGATTAATTTAAAAATGATCAAAGCTTAATGAATGATTAATTAAAATTGCGATATTTTGATACATTTTTTTATATTCAATTAATTATTATTTTTTATTTTCCCTTCCCTTTTTATAATTACTTATCATCACAACTTTGTAGTATAAATGATATATAGCAAGGGGTTAACATGTTTCAGGATAAATATTTAATGGACCGACAACGCAATTAATTGAAATTTGAAACCAACTTTTTATTTTACCTTTCCAGGCAAAGATAAGAATTTATCGGTGGGCATAACCGTTCATGGCTTAACACGTACATTTCGTGGGGACAATTTTGTATTCCCTCCCATCTTTGTTAGAAGAAGCAAATAATTATTACTCAACACTATAAAAATAATTATATACCATTATTTAGTCTTTATTATGATAAAGAAAGTTTCATATCATTATATTATTCAAAAAATTAAATATATTATTCAAAAATATAAAATTATCAAAATTTAGTTTTAATTTCTATAAAAAATTATTTTAGAATTTAGGAATTTAAAAGATAATAAAAAAGAAAAAAAAAAACAAGTTTGATGATCAACGATAAAGTTAATCAAAAGACATAATAAAGCGAAGCCTCCATTTGAATTATCCATAATCCAAAACTTTATTTCTTGAATCGTTTTGAGTTTAACACTAACCTAGGCTCAAACAATTGTAAGTTTAGCAAGTGTAGTATATTAAACTCCTCTATTTTTACTATTATAGACAAACAAGCCATTAATACTACTTAAAATGACCATTCACCTGATTGTTGTCACCATAGAAGAGGAGTTAATTTCACTTGAAGAGAAAAGTAATTCCAGAATTGGTCCAAGTAATTGATGGAGAGAAACAATGTTATTGGATTGATTATGTAAAATGTGTAAACTTCTATTGTTCCAAAATATATAGTAAAACATTGTTATCGACTCATGCAACCAACATGTTCCTTGTATTAACTTAATTTAATGTATACCTTTTAAGATCTAGTTAATGGGATCCATGAGAGTTGTAGTGTTAATAAAATGATCACAACACTCATGTATATAAGCCCAATGATCAATAGTAGCTTATCGCATCAATGAGGTCAAATGATTGTCACCTCATTGTATTAATGAGTTCAATAGTATTAATAAAATGATCACAACATTCAAGTATATAAATCCTATGATCATCACATTAATAAGTTCAAACTATTGTCACCTTATCAAACTCAAACAATGAATAATTAGGTATTACATCATTAAAAAAAGTTAATGACAATGAAACTGTCTAGCTCGAAAGGTTTAAGTGGCTATTGGTAATTATAGTCACAACATTGGTGATTGTACAAGTAATAGAGGATTATGAATGAAGTATATGTGTTGAGTCAGGATAAGATCATATGAATTTTTTTACATGAACTATAAATGAATCTTGATGATATTATAGAATAATATAATGATGTAGAGTTCTATTAATCACGTTAGTGATTAACAAATATTGAGTGGTGAATAAAAATTTATTTTAAATATTTTGCATTAATTAGAGACTAAAATATATTTAACTTAATAAAAATTAAATATTAATAATTACTTTAAAAAAACAGTTGATATATTTTTATTATTATATTTTATATACATACGTGATATATCTTTAATTTAGTGCCTTAGTGATGTTCGTATATTTAAGTGTCTAACATGAGTTTTCTTAATGGTATACACACTTCGAGTCATAATTTTCAACTAATAATAATGTAAATTGAGAGTGAGAATAAATCAATTGCCAAGTATAAATTAAAAAAAAATTGTTAATATATTTAGTTACTATTTTGATCGATTTTCTTAACTATTATTAAAAAAGAATAGTTAAAAAACAATAATATACATTTTTATTAAAACAGAATATTTAATGTAATAATAGTATTAATATCGTCATATTTTTTATATTTCTTTGATTTTGAACTGTTATTCTTATATAGTAGTGATTGTCAAAATCGTTTCATGTTTAGTATTATTTTATTACATCATTTCATGATTACAGTCATAATATATAAGTTAAATAAAAAATTTAAATTAAGCGTAAATTTTTTTAAATTTACATTGATAAAAGAAAATCTTACTTTATATATATATATATATTCTCCGGCTCATGACAAGTCGTACGTAATTGTGATAACATAATTAGATTTCTATTTTTTTTTTAAGTGGGTCTTCGGTGTTTGGTTTATTTTAAACAAAACAAAGGCGTGCAATGGATTTATGTTATGGGGGCTTTTCCAATTTTTTTTACTGATTGTTACTAACTTTTATGCTTACCAAAACAGCGAAAAATAAGAGTTATATTATTTTTATATATTTTTTCATAACATCGCTCGTTTTATTATTTTATGTTTTCTCTTCTCTTCTATCTTATTAAATCATACAAAAAGTTACATTTATTATATTGAAAAAATAAAATAAGAGAAACGGGGAGAAACTCAAAAAAGTGCGGAGGATAACACGCATATAAGGCAAACGCTAGACCTGAGAGTGTATGCGTCACAACAACAAAATTACTTTTGAACTGTCAATTATTGTTCATAAATAAAAACAATTACACGAATATTAATTTTAAGCAGAATAAATTAATACTATTAGAAGAAAAAAAAATATAGGACCACAATCTCGGCAGCCATCACTGATCGCTCATCTATCTTTTTAAAAATATTATAAAGAATTTTCGCTTGTAGAAGATAGAGTTACAGAGAATACTGATGACAGAAGCCAGCAAGCAAACTTGAGACTCTCAGTGAAGTCCCAACCCAACCCAATCCATCTGAAAGCAAAAGGAAGGCTTTTGTATCCTATGCCCCGCGATGATGGACACTTTGTCTAGCTAGACAACACCTTTCTACCTTCCTCTCTTCCTCCTCGTGTGGGAGGCCAAGATTATAGCTTCTTCTATCCATTTATTAATTCAGAATATGGTACGGTCACACCCATCTCAATTTCTGTACACATACCTGTCCTCTCTCAAGGGATCTGTTTCCATTTTTTTTTTAATTTTCTGATATCAAATCATTTTTGGGTTTCACATATCTGTCACTTTTCTTCCATTTTCCATCATCAGTTTCCCATAAACAATCATATTCCGGATACAACTTCCCTTTCACCTCATCCATGTTAGAACAAGTTCACTTTTAAGGGGTGCTCTTGTTAATTATTTGTCCATATTGTTTTGCTATTATTTTTTCAGGATCTGTGACTAGCAAGGAAGCGCCAACATTTGTGGAACAGTATGTGTATATATTTATATTGATTGAACAAAACTGAGCACGCCAAAATAAACACACGTAATGGGCTAATGAAGATTGAAGTGAACGGATCCTAGAAAGTGGTGAATTGAAAGGCTAATCATAGAAAGTTGTAAGTGTTCCGTACAGTGTCACTGACGGAAAGAACATGGCGACGTACTTTCACGGAAACACTTCTGAAATTCAATCTTCCGCAGATGGTTTGCAAACACTTTACCTTATGAACCCAACTTACGTACCCTACACTGACGCGCCGCACCCACCAACGCCCAACATGCTCCTCGTAAATCCCAACGCGCTCAACCTCGCCAACCTCCCCCACGCGCCTTCACTCTCACCTTCCCCCAACCAACAACAGCACCTGATCCAAGGGGTAACAAGCATCCTCGGATCCACTAACTCCGGGGATCACACGCGACCTTCGTCGTTCGGAAACCAAGAGAACATCACTACCTTCCACGGCTTCTCCTCCTCAGCCGCCGCCGCAGCTCCACGAGTTCACTATAACTTATGGGGTCAGGTGATTGATCAACCATCGTCGGCGGCGGCAACTCCCTCTAGCAGCTCCGGCGGCGGAGGTTTCCGGCGGCCTAGTCAGCAGGGGTTGTCGCTAAGCCTTTCGTCGCAGCAAACGGCTTACAGGTCGGTTTCCGGGGAGGTCGACGTTCCGGGTCACGTAACCGGAATCGGGAACTCTCCGTCGTCGGCGTCGAACGGAGTTTCGGGTATGCACGGCGTCATGTTGGGGTCTAAGTATTTGAAAGCCGCGCAAGAGCTTCTAGATGAAGTTGTTAACGTGGGGAAGGGAATCTACAGAGAGGAAAATAAAGAGAAGGTGAAAGTGAATAGGGAATCTACTACATCTGGGGTTGGTGGTGATGGTTCAAGTGGTGGGGGAGAAAACAGTGCAGGGAAACAAGTAGTTGAACTTAGCACTGCTCAGAGACAAGAACTTCAGATGAAGAAGTCCAAGCTTGTCAGCATGCTCGATGAGGTAATTAGTTTAGTTATTACTTCGTGCACTTTGTGTCTTTTACATTCCATTTTTTATATCCGAGAATTTTGGATTTGTCATGCAATTGCATATATGTGTTTGATCTTGTGATAGTACAGTTAATTAAGTAATCAGTTAAGTGTGGTGTGGTTTGGTTTGGTTTTGTCAGTTACTCGCTCTGGGTTGGTGATTCAGTAATTAAAAAATTATGTACGATTCAGCTTTTAGAGGATGGGGGAATAATCAGAATGTGACAGTGGCAGAGGGTCAGTGAAATTGACAGTGATGCTGTCTCGTTTTCAGTTCTTACTTGTGTCCTGAAATTATGAAGAGGAAAGGAAACTGGTGAGAAAAGTAATTTGGTCTGGTGAGTACTGTCAGAGAATAATTTGGGTTTGGACCCATTTGGGTCGGTTTCAGCATTTATCCGTGACAATCCGAACCATGGGAGTGACCCATTATTGATTCAGATTGAGGGAGTGGGGGAAAGTTAAATTATGAACTCACCAATATGGTCCAATTCTTCTTTGTATGTATCATTCAATGATTTAATTTTCTCAAAGGACATTTTTTATATAAAAATATTAATTTTAACTTTTATAATTGAGTTGATTAATTAATAATAATAAAATATTGTTAGAAAATATTTTTTTTTATATATTTTACAACTTTCATGTGATAAATGTATAATTTTTAATATAAAAGTACTATTTTGAGTATTTAAAATGAGTTTGCATGTGTAACTCTTCACTGTACACTTTTGCATATTTATCACATCAGTTCTACTTAATGATATTTCTGTTTTGAACTTTGTAGGTAGAGCAAAGGTACAGGCAATATTACCACCAAATGCAAGTTATAATATCGTCATTTGAGCAAGCCGCGGGATTTGGGGCGGCAAAATCTTACACAGCTCTTGCCCTAAAGACTATATCAAAGCAATTTCGATGCCTTAAAGATGCAATCTCAGCACAAATAAAGGCAACGAGCAAGACATTGGGAGAAGATGATTGCTTAGGAATTAAAGTAGAAGGGTCGAGGCTTAGGTATGTTGACCACCATCTCCGGCAACAACGGGCACTTCAACAGCTAGGAATGATTCAGCCGAATGCTTGGAGGCCCCAAAGAGGCTTACCTGAACGAGCCGTTTCTATTCTTCGCGCTTGGCTTTTTGAGCATTTCCTTCACCCGTATGTAACATATATCTCCCACTATTAGTCATAGTGTTTTTAAGGACAATTAATTAACCTTCATGTCTCATTATATTAATGACTTTTGGGTAGCATATTACATATACTTGCTGTCAACTTAAAAGTGTTTGTAATTTTGGCCTGCAGCTATCCAAAGGACTCCGATAAAGTTATGCTTGCTAAACAAACTGGACTTGCTAGGAGCCAGGTATATTTGATCAACCATATCTACCATTAAGGAAAATCTAAGATATAGTGAGAACTCATTATATATATTTGGTACATTTTTGGTATGAGTTATTTTTTTTTATTGATATATATAGTCAAAATCTCTTCTAAGAAACTAACAAAACTAAAAATAATTAATATTTTTTAAAAAAATAGTTGAATCCACCATGCAGTTTTATTTCAATTTGGAAATCCACATTTTTTAAACACATTGAGAAGGGTGGTATGGAGGGGCCAACGAGGAAAATGACGCTTTGTTTATAGAAAGGGAAAAACTAAGGGATACATAGCTCAAATTTCCGTAATAAAAACATTGAAAAGCTTGGTCCATTTACTAAAATATCTTTGTTTTTTTCCGTTGGTTTATATTGCATGTGGTTCGGTAACATGAAGTAATAACAACGATTATGGTAATGTAAGTTGTTTCTTATATTCTAAAGCTTAATGCAGGTGTCAAACTGGTTTATTAATGCCCGAGTTCGGCTGTGGAAACCAATGGTTGAAGAAATGTACATGGAAGAAATGAAGGAGCATGAACAAGCTAATGGTTCAGATAACACCAGATCAAAAGAGTCCAGCAAGGAGTTGGGGTCAACCGCAAATGTTGCACCGGAATCAATCAGTGCTATTAAACTCGATCATCTCCAATCAAAACAAGAAAGCTTCAACAACCGAAACACTACTTCTCCAACTGAGATCTCAACAAACTCTTCAATGTCTCCAATTGGAGGATCCCTTCAATCCCACTCTGGTAATTTCCATTTTGCAGGTTCATCTGACATGCAAATTAGGAGTCCAAACAAGCCAAGAAATTCGGAAATACAGAACTCTCCAAGTAGTATCCTTTCAGTGGACATGGAAATGAAGCATGGCGAGCATGCAAATAGAGAAGCCAACAAAAAGTTTGGTATAGAAAGGCACCACAAAGATGGATACCCTTTGATGAGTGGCAATACAAACCATGGTGGGGGTTTTGGAGCCTTCTTCATGGAAGACATTGGAAGCAGGTTCAACGTTACTACTGAACAATTAGCTTCAAGGTTCCACGGAAATGGTGTTTCTCTCACTCTTGGACTCCCTCACAATGAAAACCTTCCTATCTCAGGAACTCAACATGGATTTCTCTCACAGAATATACATTTGGGAAGGAGACTTGAAATGGGACCAAATGGAAATGAGTTTTGTGCTATCAACACTCCACCTTCTTCTCACTCAGGCACCACTTATGAGAGCATCGACATTCAAAACAGAAAGAGATTTGCTGCTCAGTTATTGCCAGATTTCGTGGCCTAAGAACTGATGGATAGCTAGCTAGACTAGAATTCTGAAATTGGATACTTAATGAGAAGAAGAAAATCGCAGTTCAGATTGTTATTCTCTAAACATACTAATTAACTTCCCATAAGAGTTAGCTAGCTGCTGAAGAATAAGTAACGGAGAGGAGCATTGTTTTTACATACACAGTCACTGATTTATGAAATATGTCATGATTCTGGTATATTGATATCCCTGGCATGGGAGGGGAAGCTTGCTTCCGGTAAAGATGGGATATATAGTAGTACAGGACTATACTTGCAGAGATTAATATTTCAGTTAGCTAATTATTATGATAGGACACTTAATTGGGGGAGGGTATATATATATATATTGTATATGGTATTGGATATAGCCAGGTACGTAGAAGGATTTGAATGATTTCTTTTGATTTGGTATATATATAAATATATCTGCACGAGAGTTATTTGGGTAAAGAAGTAGAAGCATTGCTTTATGAGATTAATTATTCCTGCATGCAATTTTTGTTTCATGTGCATTTGCATTTGCCTGTTGTATAGAATAGTGGGTGAAGGTGGAATTATTAGTGGGAGACACGCATGAAAGGTAATATATATACGGATGTGCGCAATATTTCGACGCTTTCATAAAATAGTGTTCGAGGATATTGAATGAATTATTTTAGTATTTACTTTTGACACATTACACTACTATGCATATATATTGCATGCATGCAAAGTAAAACTCCAATTTATCGTGTTAATCCGCCTCTCTCCCCCACAATAAAAATAAACCAAAAGCTGTTCTTTGCTAGATCCAATTTATGCTTTTAATACAAAGGATGAGTAATTTGATATTTCATAAAACTATGTCTGAGGGCAATGGTGTAATTCGTATTACCTTGGGATAAGTTACTGTTTTCTATACCCACCGGGCTTGTTTCTTCTTCCTTACTATGAACCGAGAGCGGTTCAATAAGGATAGTTGTAATATTGTCATATATATATATATAACCGAGGCAACGAGAAGTCCTGGAGCTAGCCCTACTCGTTTTGTCCCATTATGTAGTTACTGTTATCCAAATTAAAATACATAATTAACAAAATTGAGCGCGCGCTTTCAAGAGTATTTTAACTTAGCAAGAACAAATATTTGAAGTTCTATCCGATTATCAAGTATCACACAAATGAAGAGAAAAAGAGGATTGGATGCTAATTGAAAACATGATGAATCAAGAAATTTTAGATAAATTGAGACTAAACTCTTTGGCTACCCCCAATATTTTTTTCCTTGGGTTCACCACTTCAACCCGTATGTATGACAATATTAATTTCAAGATATAAGCTCGATGGCACCTTGTTTGGAAATTGAAAATGTGGGCAACCTGTGCTGTTTATATGATAGATGTCATACATATATTCCACGCCACAGTATACTGGGAAAAAAAAAGGAAAGGAATACCAAGATTCTTTACAGTAAAAGAACGGAGTGGGCTCCATGCGGGTCCCACTGAGCAACGACACTTCCTGGTTGTGGCTCATACGTAGGCATAGCTCCGCTGGATGACTTGGTCGAGTTTCTTTACAAGCCCTTCTAAACAGTGGGGCAGAATCATTGTCATTTTACAGTATTGTTCAATTATACGCGTCATATATGACTAAAAATTTATAGATTACGATTCATTCATGTTTCTTCACTTACGATCTATATATATATAATAAAAAATCTTATGAAAAAAGACAGAAAAATAATTACATTATGACCGACCATTGTTTCAATAAAATCATTACACCAAAATATGTATTTTCTTGTACATGAAAGAAGGGACAAGATGGGATTCATATATATATATATATAAACGTATTAGAAAACATATACAACGAATAGAGAAAGGAGCAGAGAAGAAGGGACATTTAAGGAAAGTGAAAAACACATATTTTGGTACAATTTTAGTATGCATTAAATAAAATAATTGTGAATGGATTGCTTAGAAAACACAATTTTAAGATGGATGTTTTAAATAATATCTTCATAATTTGTTTAGATTTTTTAATTTTTTAAAATTTAAAAAATTTATTAAAATATTAATATTTTTAAATAAATTCTTTATTTGAATGTTTTTTATAATATCATTCTTAGTTTTGCACCTTGTTAGATATCAAACTTAATTATTTTTTTAAAGGAGTTTTGTACATCAAATAGGCAAAACTAGAGAGATTATGACATGCATTAAGGTTAAGATTCCAGGTAGTTTTGCCTCTACAATTTTTTAAACTAATTTTTTAAAATCAAATTTAAAATTGGATACCAGGGAATTGTTGATGTCACATGTCAAAATATGGGCCAATTTTGCCTCTGACATAAGTGAAATTAGTTTGACATTACAGAGCCCACTCTATTTTGATATTCTTAATTTTTTTTATCTCTTAGAATATAAAAATAAGTAGCATTGAGATTTGCAATAAAAAAGGGATAAGAGGTATTAATGTCATGATATAACATTTATCTTGAAAAGAAAAGAGAATGGTTGAGGGATGTAGGGCATTTTTGCAAGTTTATGATGGGGAGCGTGGCTTTAATATCGAAAGAAAAAACCTAAGGTTGGTACAATTTTGAAATTATAACCTTCAAAGGTAAAGGCTAAACTCATGTGTTTTCTCTTCTTCTGTGAAGTTTTTTTTTTAATATATATATGATAGATTTTTTTTGCTCTTTGGTGAGAGCTTTTTTTTTGTTGATCTTTCTTTTTACTATTACTTTATTTTCATCCTTATTTACACTTTATCTTATTTTTTAAAAAAAATTTAAGAAAGAAAAACTTATAATAACAAACAAATTTTATTATTTTTTACTTTTAAAAATAAAATTTATAAAAAATAGAAAAAACTCCAATATTTTAATAAATAATTTTTTTGAGGTGCATAATACAATTTTGTTTTAAAGTTTTGATTACTACATAAAATAAAAATCATTTTCTAGTTACAAAGTCTAATAAGAAAAAGAATAAAATAAATATAAATTAAACTCTCTTTTTAATTTCTAAAATAACAAGTATCAGATATTTTAGTTTTTAAAATTTTAAATATATTATGCTGATGTTTACCTTTTTTATTGTTTATTATTATTTACGCACAATAATAAAATAAACACGTGATATGTCACGTTAAATTATATACATAAATAATTGCATCATATATAGTATAATATATATTTTTATTTTATGTTAATTTTTAAGATTGTCTCATGTCAAAAACTTTAGTTCTTCATTCTAAAAATTTTTCTTCTTCTTCATTCTTCCTTAGTATTACTATCACTAAAAACCACTAATATCAACCACTATAATTATATACATTCTCCGTTAATATTTTTCCAAACTTTTTCACAAGATAACATAGTTATCAATTATGATTTTAGACATGTTGATATTGGAAACTCTAATAGATTAAAAAAAAATTAGTTTAGGCATAAATCCAAATGTAAGCTTACTTGGAAAAAAAAGAAGAAGGAGCAAGAGTAAGGGCGAAAAACAGAAAAAAAATAACGAAGATTGTTAAAGATAGAGTTTAGAAACTTTAGTAGTCAGTGTATATAGCACAAGTTCAAGAAAAAACACCTATTCAGCTATTGACAACAATTCCTCTATTACCCAAAATTAACATTAATCCCTTCGTTGACAACAAAAACTTCAGATCTAGCACATTAACTTTTTTTTTTCCTTCACCGTCGTACTCACTTTTATTGTTTGTGAAATTTCATTTGAACTCGTCATTTCTTTTTTTCTCTTCCTCTAAAATTCTAGTTTCTCTTTTTCTTTTCTTCTTTCTCTCTTACCTTTACATTTTTTACCCTTTTAATTTTCTCTTGTTATTAGATATTTTATATTTTTTAATAAATAAATATATATTAAATACATTTTTAAAAACTAAATAAATAATTTAATATTTCTTTTTTAAGTAAGTTAATACTTTTATTAAATATATGCCTAATACAAATAGAAAATACTAAATACTATTAATTAATAATATAATATAAATGATTAATAATATTAATATATTATTAATGTTTTACTAAAATTTTCATATGATATTTTTATTTTTAAATTTATTATTTTATAATCTATCAATTATTAAATATTATAGAATAATTAAATTAATATAAAATAACAGTTTTAAATGTTAAATTTTTTAAAAGTCCATATTATAAATTAATAATTAATAAAATTAAATATATTATAAATCTATACATCATTGAAGTACAAAATTTTGTTATATATAATGCCTTGACCATAAATAAATAGTAGCATAGTAAAAGGAAGTCCTTAAATTAATACTTGTCGATGCTTGATTTGTCGGATAGAGGCAACTTATCAGTTGACTTCACCGATGAAACCACGAAGACTAGAAACAGGACTACTTGTTGCATGGCAAATTTCGATGCCGCTTTCGAACAATGACTTCTCTTCTTCTTTTTCTTGCCCCACAAAGACAATTATAGTGGACAACAATGGCACTCACCACTCAACCTTCTTCTTCATGTACTTGAGAGTGGACACCCAAAATAATCAATGGAATCAAGCACACCTAAGTGGTCTAATCTTCCAAACGATTTGGTAGAGCACATAGTTAAACTCTTTCACTCACCCATCGATCTTCTTCTTTTCCGAAGTGTGTGTAGCACATGGCGATCCTCTTCTTCTCTCAGCAACAACATTTTTCACTCTCCATTATTCCCTCTCAAGCTTCCAACACCAACTTGCATCGACCCTGACCTACGACCCTCTTCTATTCTTCTCACACAAAGCACCATCTATAAGATTTCCAAGCCTTCAAAGACCATGAATACCAGGTCATGGTTGGTGAGGGTGGAGAAATTATCAACATGTGCCGGTAAGGTGTGCCTCAAGGACCCCCTTTCTCCCTCTCTCTTTGGGAGTTTCACCAACCACAAGTTTCCCAAAGTTTGGAACCTGTTGAACTTGAGGGTCTCCGAGGTAAGCAAAGCTTATGAACTCAAATTTGATGGCCATCAATCATGGGCTTGTTCTACTTCTATGTTTAAGAAAGTGGTAGCTTCTGACATGAGAGATAATCTTTCAGTGATTGCACTCCATCGACGTGGAAAATTGGGCGTGTGTAGAGTGAGTGAGAAGAAATGGACTCAAATAAAAGATAACCAAGTATGGAACAAATACATAGACATAACTTATCATAATAACAAGTTTTATGCAGTGGATGTAAAGGGGTTGTGCCTTTCGGTTGATTGTAGCCAAAGCCAAAAAGTCAGGTACAACGCCCCGCCAGGGACTCGTTCTGAATTTCAGTATTATGATGATAGAGGTAGGTACTTGGTGAATTCTCTTGGGAATTTGCTCCTTGTTGATAATCCTCCTGTGCGTGGTTGCAATGTGCATTTTAATGTCTATAGGTTAAATGAGGACGAGGGTCAATGGATTCCAGTGGATAACTTGGGTGACCAAGCGTTGTTTTTGGGTGATGATTGTTCTTTTTCAGTTTCAGCTGGAGATTTAGTTGGATGCAAAAGTAATTGCATTTATTTCACTGTTTATGGATACACTTGTTATGATGCTTATGCTGGCTATCATGCATGGCAATTTGACTTGGATGATCATACACTTACACCACTCTCGCCAAAGACTCGTTTTACTAATCCTTTTCGCCCTCTTTCAACTTTACTGAAGGCTAGAAAGAAAAGTCTAGCCCTTTTTCTTGGATGCTAACTCTGCACCAAACACGTAGCTCATGCCACAATGTCAGAATGTGAGAGAAGAAGAAACGTACATTGTGGTTTGTGGATTCGTGGTAAATGGAACCTTTTTATTTTCCATATGGTTATTATGGCCCAGAGGATGGGGTGAGAGTGTAGTCCATCATTTTGTAGCTGGACTTTAGTTCACTATTTTGGGCCTTGTGTAAGCTTGGTAGATTTGGTTTGTTCTTTGTATTTCGGAATGAATTTTGGACTTTGTTTCCTGTTCTCACATGTCCATAAAAGCCCTTTTATAAAAAAAAAGAAATAACAGATAGAAGTTTAGAACCTTTTAGGGGTGATTGATTTCAAAGAAATATGTTTTTAATTACAAAACTATCATTTTATTTTATTTTGTTAAAGATCTATATAAAAAATAGTAATTTTTATTTATAAATATTTAGAAAATAGAAAATAAAACGAATAAGATAACATATTTGTAATTAATAGTAAATAAAATAAAAATAAACCAAGAAAAATCTTCAATTTTTAAAGTTAAATTGTATATCTATTTCTATGTATTTATTTATCTATCTACTATCTATCTGCTGCTGCACAAACGTGATATTTAATCAGCCCCGCTATTTGGTTCAAAAAGTATTTATACAAAAAGTTATGAATTAATGTTAACCAGTCAGATTTCAAGTAACCATGTATGGTAGGTAAGAGTGAAAAGTAACGTTTTTACCAAAATTAGTTCCCAAAATTTTCGTGCAAATCATAAGAAAACTTGTGCATCATTTATCTATTTCTATATTTAAATTTTTCATACACGTATGTTTAATTCTTAGATTTGGAAAACATATCAAATTCAACCATTATTAAATCTACCCTTAATCAGTCCATTTTCTACCCTAAATCCAAGTAAAATACTATGCATCTCATCGATAAAGCTGTTTTCTTTTTTATACTTTTATTAAAATGGTATTATTATTATATTCAATTTTTTTTATTTAAAACCCATAAATCATATCAGTATAATTAATATATTTGGGCTGAACTCAATCAATCGCATGTGGGAGTAAATTTTTGGTGTAGTATCTTTTGCGCTTACATTTCCTTATTTGGTAGCTTTTTCTTCATTTTTAATTTTCAAAATTTTAAATTATGAAAAAATTAACATTATATAATTCGGTGTTGCTATATAAAGGAAAGAAATACATACTCTAGGAAAACTGAAAATTTTAACTGAATTTTTACTATATAATGCTTTGTTTTAATAAAAGAGAAAATTAAAAAGTATAAATAATGACATTTTTATTTAATTTTAAAAAAATGGAAACAAACTAACTTTTAAATAAATCATCTCGTTATTTCTTCAACTTAGCTCACTCTGCTGGGAGTTGTGGGTCCAAAGGAAATACATGGAATGAAATGACAAAAAAATATATCCTCCATAAATATTTATATATAAATTCCTTACGTGAGCATCACAAAGTTTGAAACTTAATTGTTTTTGGCTTTCTCTCTCTCTCTCTTCGTGGTTTGAAAATTGAAACACTATCCAAATCAACCACCGAAGCTGTAGTACGAGCCGCCGACGTACGTGAACAAGTGGCCACCAAGTTGATTCGTAGCATATGCCACAGCGTGATGAAGACCTAGAAAATTCCAATATTCAAACGCCATTATTTTGTACTGTTTCAATATGTTGTTGCAAGGTTTGACCACCAAGCCCACCATTGACAAAAAAAATTTAATTAAGCATTTATGACCGGCAAAAACAAAGAAAACTTACGAACTATATAATAACCCGTTTATCCCAAAATCTCTTCCGCGCTGTCGCTAGTACATTCATGTACATTTGTATCATTAATCATCTTTAGCAACTTTATATTTATAGAACCGATCCTCTTAACCCAAGAAAGAAACCCCTCTTTTTCTTCTTCCTTCTATCTCTAAACATCACCATAACAAAAATATAACTTCATTGTATTTGTTTTTATACAATGGCCGAAATTGAAATTCCTGAATTTTTCGTTTGTCCCATTTCGCTTCAGATCATAAAGGACCCCGTGACGACCGTTACAGGCATAACATACGACAGAGAAAGCATCGAACACTGGTTGCTAACGTCAAAAGAATGTTCTTGTCCTGTCACAAAGCAACCATTACCAAGAAGCTTAGAGTTCTTAACCCCTAACCACACACTTCGCAGGCTAATCCAAGCGTGGTGCTCAGCAAACGAAGCCAATGGGGTTGATCAAATTCCAACCCCAAAATCCCCTCTTGCCAAGACCCATGTTGAGAAACTCGTGAAGGATCTCCAAGTTCCTCGATACTCTCAAACGGCATTGGAAAAATTGCACGCTCTTGCTATAGAGAGTGAGAGGAACAGAAGGTGCATGGCTTCAGCAGGAGTAGATGAAGCTATGGTTCACGTAATCATAAAGAGTTTCAAGCAAGGTAAAACGACGTCGTGCCTCGAAGAAGCTCTGAGAATCCTTCGTCTACTTTGGAGCCCTTCCGTTGTGGCCGACAACAACAACAACAACATGAAGCTCATGGTTGGTGAAAACATTGACTTTCTCAACTCGTTGACTTGGGTTTTGCAACTTCATGTTAATAACAAGGTCAAGATAATCAACGAAGCAATGCCTATACTGAAAATGGTTATCGAAGTGAAAGATTCAACCCCTTTAGGAAATTTGAAGCTTGAATTCTTTGGAGTAATTGTAAGTGTTATGAAAAATAGAGCACTCTCTCAACAAGCTATTAAATCTGCATTGCATGTGCTTATAGAAACGTGTCCTTTGGGAAGAAATAGAATGAAGATTGTGGAAGCAGGTGCAGTTGTTGAACTTGTTGAGCTTGCACTTGAAAAACCAGAAAAGAACCTAACAGAACTCATTTTCATTCTTCTGGCACATTTGTGTTCTTGTGCTGATGGAAGAGAACAGTTTGTGCAGCATGCTGCAGGCATTGCTGTGATTTCTAAAAGGACACTCAGGGTTTCTCCAACAATTGATGATCGAGCTCTTCATATATTTTCTTTGATTTCTAAGTTCTCAGCTTCAAAAGAGGTTGTTCAGGAGATGCTGAGGGTTGGTGCTGTGTCAAAGCTTTGCATGGTGATGCAAGCGGATTGTGCTTCCTATTTGAAAGATAAAGCAAGGGGTATACTTAGGTTACACTCCAAAGCATGGAATAATTCTCCTTGTATTCAAGTATATTTGTTAACCAGATACCAAAGGTGATTCATTAATAGAAGCTCCAATTCCTATTTGATTTTTAGAATTTTTATTTTCCTGGGTTCTTTTTTAGCCTTAAAATGATACTCTGGTCTGTGCCAAAACACTGTACAATTTGAAGAAGGAATTGAAAGTTTAAACTCCGGCCGATTATTTCTGTTTATAAATCTTTCTGCTCAAAATTTATATAAAAGTGACACATTTAAAAAATAAAAAATATATTTTAAAAAGATATATATGTATTTTTTAATAAAAAATATTAATTTGAAATCCGTATACTTAGTCTGAAAAAGTTAAAGGTAACGTTTATCTTGAATTTTTTGTTGACGTGCGTGGGTGGGTGTTACAGTAGTAATTCTGTACAATTAATTGACTTAAAGAGGGGGCTGATTGAGTATCTTATGGGTAGTTGATTAGTATAGCCGACAACTGAGACAAAAAAAGGTGGATCAAGATTGACCTCGCAGCACAATTTTTTGTAAGGCAAAAGCGAAAAGTCACTTTATATACTGGAATTTTACGTGTGGCTTAATTAACATTTTGTTTTCTTGCTGTTCCCTGTTATTTTGGATCTCCCATACTTCCACCAAAGTTTCTAACACAAGATAAGATAATTTAATGTTAGTTTTTTACGTTTCGTTGATATTGTTTATTAAAAGTTTCTTTACTAATTTGTAATAATATTAAATATAGATATTTTTACTAAAGTAAAATTTTGATTAATAAATAATACTAACAACACTTAAAGAATAATATGTAAAGTGTGTTGTTTTCAGGTTACAAACAAACTATTTTTTAACAAATCATGGGGATAATTTTAATTACTTGTTTTTATCTTTTAAATGTATTTTAAAAGATGCATTTATATAAGAAAGATTAAAAAAATCACTATTATTATATATTTATGAGTTTTAACTCTTGAGTGTGAGATATTGTTCGGTATAATGAAGTTACTAGAAATGCCCTGGGTTATAATTCTCAGTTAAGGTAGGCAGTTCCTTTTCATTTGCTGTAACTATACTACATTACTATATTGGATTTTCAATACAACTTAAAAATAACAATTATTAGTCAAAGCATCATAAATGAGGGCGAAAGTGAGGTAAGGTAGAGTCTTTTTTTTTTTTTTAAAAGGCAAGATAGAGCTATTTTATTGCTATAAATGAATTTAAAACATAAAATAACTGTAGAATTAAAAAAAAGTGAAAAGTTTGAGAATGTGAAAAGTCAGAAAAAATATAAGTAAGATAAATAGAGGCTTAATAAAAGAAAAATAAACGAAACTGTAAATTAAAATTAAAAAAAAAAGGTCATGTCTAACTAGCAGTGAAGGAATTCTATGTTATCTATAAATGGGAAAAACTTGAACGAGAAAAACGGTTGAAAGAATATTCGTTGAGAGTGTGAAACATCATAACTGGACGCAATCCGTATTTTAATAACTTTTAATACATCCTCTGTTCGAAGGCCATTCTCAGCCTCAAGCTTCATATATAGACACATTCAAATCTCCAAGCGAAAAAATGTTTACAACAAACCAAGTTGAATTCGTTGGTTGACTCGCGTGCAAGTCTTATCTGTCATCTGTGGTGCCTGGTTCATCTGCAGATTGCAGATTGCAGTTGCAGCAGAAATTAAGAACCACTATTATTTAATTCCCTTTATGCCAATGATAAATATTCATTATTTCATCCTCACCGAACATAGATATTAGGATAATATATGATGGTAAAATCTGTGGTACCTTCAAAACTTTTAGGGTACTGTGCAGGAAAAATAATATATGACTTGGTTCTAATAAAAATGAATCAATTAGATTTCATAGTTTTAATATTTTTGTAGTGTTAGTATTCACAAATTTAAAATTTTTAAAACACTGTTATTATTTAATAAAGAGATGACATGCATTTAAGTATGTCACACTAAAATAACATAATTAAAAGTATATCACGTTATTATTGTTAAGTAGTAATATAAATTGTTTTAAAAATTTATAACAATTAAATTTACTGGAAAAAAAAAGAAAATTAAGATAATTTTTAATTATAATTATAGAGACTAAATATATATTATATATTATCATTGGAAGCTTCACTTAAATAATCTTGAAAATAAAATAAAGTAAGTACTTCTTGGATTAATTATCGGGTCTTTATTTTCTTAATGAAATTTCAATTCTACGCATGCATGCATTTATCAGACATGCACCAAAAGTTATATGGTCAATCCACGAGAAACAATTTGTAGCTTTCTTTTCTTGGACTAGCTAGAAGAATTTGATCTGGAAGAACCAAAACAGAGGACGAGTATTTACTTAACTTCAGCATGTGGTTCTGGAAGCCAAACGTTTGACACATTTGGAAAATGACTACTGCATATAACTACGTAACCTTTCATTCTATGGAAATGTCTTAACTCTCACGTATCAATCATTCTCACTACCAGCACTTTCACCATTCTCTATCTAAGCAGAGATGGTGCATTAGAAAGAAAGTCGTATCAATACCCTTTCATTATTTTTCTTCCGTCAATGGTGAAAGTGAATGCCATCTCTTTCCTTACTTTTCGCCTCCATAAATTGAAATATTGTACCTTTCTTTTTTACTAGTCAAAGTTTTATTCATCATATCAATGATGATGCCACATCCCTTTTTAAAATTTTTATTTCTGTAATTTGAATATTAAAAATTATAATCATATGTAATATTATGTATAATTTTTTAAAATTTTTGATATACGTGTATTTTAAAAATGCATTAAAAAAGTGAATGAGTCAGCCAAAAGTCGTCTCTTAAATTGGTCCAAGAAACATTTTCTTAAACTTTTTCATTGCGTCTGTTGTCCTCGCATTAAGAAATTAATTAGGACATTAGTATTCCACTGGCGTTTTTTCAGCGGATGTCCCACTCGAGAGTTAGCCACGTAGTATTGAAAAATGTACCATATATTTTCGATGTTATTATGTTCTTGTGATTACGATTACATCACTTTTAATTTTTTTGATTATTTTAATGTATGCGGTATATAATAAAAAATAATAATTATAAATAGTTAATGCTGTTAATATATTGTATTTTGTGATATCATGTAACTTTTTATAAAAATTTATTATGTATTCTAAAATACATGCTTAAAAACTTATTATTGCTTCAATTTGTTTTTTTATAAAAAAATTAAAATTTTATTGGTCTTTAATATAAGATGTTTTACAAAATTTTAAGAATATTTATTATTTTATTTCACATATTTATTTTTTATTATTGACCTTTCTAACTTAATAATTAGTATAATATTTAAATTTACTTAAAAATAAATTTAAAATATTATATTTAATTTTAATACATTTTTTTAATATATGTAGTTTAGTTAAAAAAATCTTATAAGATTATATAAATTTATATTTTTACTGAAATATGTTAGCCAATACCTTAGAGTATTAATTGAGAAATTTAAAGTAAAAATTTATTATTTGAAAATATTACTAAAACATATCTCTCTATAAATTTGAATTCAATTTAACGTATTTTTGAATTAAAAAATTTATTAAAAATAAATAAAAAATACTTTCAATTCTTAATGACTACCCTAAACAAAATCCTTCTTTGTTACACAAATTCATTCAAGTCAAGAATAATTATTTATTAAATTAGCAGATAACTGACAAGTTATTTCTTCATTAATTACTACAATTACTGCAAATCTTAAAATCCCATTAACCTAATGTGCTTTATTCAAAGCTCAAATTCCTAAATCTTTAACGTAAATTCTTTACTATATTCCTCTAGATTACGCGCTGTCAAAATTGCCTTACAGTGCACCTTAATCAATTGTTAGCAGCACTTATCTCAAACATGCCCCAATCCATAATATTTTCTGTGATTAGTATATTTTATTTTGGTTAACATGGGAATATTTGATTAGAAAAACTAAAAACATGAAAAAGAAAAAGAAATAAAAGCTGTACTTTTAAAAAATTAAAAAGATAATTTAGTTTCGTTAGACTAATTTACCCACCTGAGTACGAGTCATTTGGTCAAGAAAAAGAAAAGTATGAATAACTGATTCATTATCTTACATTATTAACTTTGGGTTTATCTTATTACTACCTTTAATAGTATTTTCATTATAAATTTCCCGGGGCACGGGGCGGCGTTTACCTTGAACGGGTCAAGGTCCATGCAACCTTAACTAATAATGCTATTGCTTTACAACGTTTTTGCACCGTTTGAATGAATTGGGCCCCAAAGAATCTACCAATCAAGGTTTGGGCTTTATTCAAATCTTTAATCCTAGGATATGGACATGGCGGTATCAAAATTCTAATGACTAACAAGAGAAAACAAAAAAATGAAATACGACACTCCTGTCAACACTGACTAGTATGACCAAAAACGAAAATGAGTTTTTTCGATGTTGATTTTCACATGATCCAATTTTAATTTTCATTCTCAGCTAAGGTTTTTATACAAATAAACATTTCCATTTCCTCGTGCTTTTGGACTTGACTAATATGTTTATTGTAAAGAATTTAATTGGAAGAAATTTAATGAAGAGTGTCCGTAAATTGATGTAATCTTCATTTTCTTTCCACAAATTAACCTCATTATTCAAATCGATATTCGATCCTTTTCAGACAAACGAGGGAAGTTTATAACATGGACGAGATTTCTACTAGTGAGTTACGAATAAATAATGTAAGCAAACTTGAATATACTGAATTCAAAATTTTAAAACTATTTGAGTTGTGGATACTCATCATTTATAAGTTGTTTAACTTTTTTGTTTTTATTAAATATGAGACTTATTCACTTATATTTTACCTCAGTTGATGTAATAGCTAGACTCTTAATGGTACGTAGTGTATTTGGGTACGTAGTGTATTTGGGATGGAATCTGATGCAGACTTACAAAGCAATATGCTCAAATTAATATAGGCTCCAACATGTCATGTGGTTTTATAAGAATGTCTCATTGCTGAGTTTAGGCACGGATGAGTGATATAGCCT